GGCTTCTCTGCCCCCTCCCACTCTGAGTGCATCCTAGGAGAGACCACAGCTGGGAAGCAGCTGTGCTGAAACCCACTTGGGAAGGACTTGGGACTCAGAGCCAGTGCCCAGGTGGCCCGCCCTCACCTGTCCTGTGTCATCCACAACACCAATCAGGACAGCAGCTCTTCTCTGCCCCCTCCACCCCTTCACCCTGCCTTCTCTCCTGACCTTTCTCTCTGCTTTCTCTCCCTTCCTTGAACTCCCGGGTATCCCCCAACCTGCTCCTTCCCCTGCTGAGTCCTGGCCCACTCAGCCATTGTCACGGGCACCACTGCTCCCTCCTGCCCTGACAAGCTAGCTTCTTGGGCTGCCCTTCTGAGTGGCAACTGTTTCTCCCACCTTGTGACCCTTGTGCCTGGAATCCGTATTGACACTGCAGCTCGGTCCCCTCCACCCTCTTCCACTGAAACCTGTGCTGTCTCCCTGCAGCCGTCTCCCTCCACATCCTCCTCAAGTCCTGCAGTAGCATTTCCCCGGGATCTGGCTCCTGGTTGACACACGTCCTCTCCGCCAGCCAGCACCGCCCTGGGAGGTCCCGTCACCCACAGGGACAGCCTCAGCACAGCGTACTCACTCCCCACCCCAGACTCCAGTGACCTGCTCCACTCAGCCGCATCCTGGACTGGTTTTTGTTTTTTAATCACTGGGACTGAGAGCTCTGACATAGTAAGTGCTAGTGTCATTTTTACGCTACAACTTTCTTTTCTTCCAGCTCTCCTTTGTCATCATCCCTCTATACCTGTGCTTTGACCTCACTGAACTCCTGTCCCTTGATAAGCTACTTTCTTTCAGGTTATCCAGGCTCCCTCCTGAGCCCTCTTCTCTCCATTTGTGCCCTCACTGGCTCCTTGATCTGTGTTCCCCTGTCCTTCTGCCGCACTAAGCTGACCGATTTCCAATCCTGGGTGTGTTCCTAAGCATAGAATGCTATTTGCTCACCCAATATCCTTTCACTTTTTGTATTCAGTTACAGGATGTTGATTTTATGTGGAATGGTAGGGTGCCCCCTACAGATAGATGAGGGACATATGACTAAATATAGCCAATAAGATGTAAGGGGAAGTTGTGGGTAGGACTTCATGAAGGCTATTTAAAAGGAGGACAGTTAGCCAGGACATAGTCATTTTGTCCTTTCCTCCTTGTTCTTGATCCCTGTTTGGAGTCAGAAATAATGGCTGGAGTCCTTGCAGCCATTTTGGACCATGAGGCAGTCTTCAGGATAGAAGCCAGTATCCAGGACAGTGAGCAGAAAGGTAGGAGCCTGAGTGCCTCAGGACAGTGGCCTCTGCTATCTATCTCCAGATCCTTTTATATGAGGGAAAATTTTTTTTAATTCTCTGATGTTTAAACCACCGTTACTTTTATCCTCTGATGCTAGCAGCTGAACACAATTTCCAACCAATAATTCCAAAAGGTTTCTAAACCTGCATGGTTTATATTGCTGAAAAAAACTCATAATCATTCATGTTTTAATACATCTATGGCTTCTCATCTGAGTTGATCCTCAAATACGATCTTGCATTTCCTCAGTGACTAGGTCACATTTTCTCTTCATCTCAGACCCTCATCCTCATTCTCAGGAGACAGCTGTGGTTTTTGCTGTGCAGAATTTTTTTTAATTTGTATGAATTTGTCAATATTTTTACTCATGGCTTTTGGGTTTTATGTCATACTTGGAGGATTCATCTTTCTTCCATGGTTATAAAATAGTCTCACATGCTTTTGTCTAATACTAGGGTCATTTGAATCTTTGATCTCTCTGGAATTAATTTTTGTGCAAATTATGAGGTAAGGAGGTAACATTATTTTCTCAGATGTACTCCATTGTTCCAGCACCATATCTTGAATTACTTATCCTTCCCCATTGATTAGAAGTGTTTCCTCTTAACCTACTAAAGTCCCTTATATATTTGGGTCTGTTTTCATCCTGCCTGTATTTGGGTTTTTCTCTTTTCTTCCATTGCTTTATCTGTTATGTGTTATATGTTTCTCTACTATATGCCAGTATTGCATCATTTAAATTTTTGTAGCTTAAGAATGATAAGTGCTAATGCTGATATAGTGCTTATTCTGTACCAGGATCTATTCCAAATACCTTAAGTTTAATTGTTATGAAAATGCCCAGGGAAGTGCTATTATTATTCCCATTTTGTTGATGAGTAAGTTGAGGCATAGAGCAGTGGTATCATTGTGCTAGAGTTTTCCCAGCCAGGGAGTGAAGCAGGATTTAGCAGTAGACATTTCTGATTCTGTGCTCTTCACCTCTGTGCTTTAATTCATCTGATAGGGATAATCTTCTGTTGCAGATTTTCTTTAGAGTAGTTTCAAATCAATGAAATGCATACATCCAAATTTCTGATGGACACCTATACTCAGATGCCACACAGGTGTCTCAAATGTAAACTATCCCAAACTAAAGAATCATCCTCCTCTCCCAATCATGGTGTTTGATCTCCTCTGTCTCCTAATACACTTGGTGGCCCTAGTCACCCAAGCTGAAAACATGGGACTTATTCCTGCTCCCTCGTCCCTACACCAGTTGAATCATCAAGTCCTATTGGTTTTCCCTCTTAAGCTTTTCCAGGATCTGGCTCTCTCCCTCTGTCCACACTGACACATCCATTAGACTGACCCCAGCCTGGCCTATGTCCCACCCCTCCACCACAGAGCAGTGTATCTGGAAGGCCAAGCTGAGGTCACCTCTTCCCTGCTTCACGTTGCCTCTGGGGTCAGAGGCTCCTGGGTGTGATTTACAAGGTCTTCTCTCATCTCTTGCCTCTTCCACAGCCCTGAGCTACTTTCACTTCCCAGAATGGTTTCCTTAGCCTGGTAGGACAGTGACCCAGACACCAGCCTCACTGCTTGCCTGGTAACTGTTTTCCATTCTTTGAGACTTTTTGTAGTCACTTCCTCTGGGAAGTCCGACTTGACTAGCCCTCCTTCCTCCCAATACCACAGCTCTTCCTAAATTAGTAAATTAACCCTTGAGTCACTGTCCCTCCTCCTGCATCCAGCTCCCCAAGCCCTACCCCCTGCCCCTGGGCCCCCAGTCCTTGAAAGCAAGGCCTGTGCTTTATTTGCTTTTGCATCTCCAATTACAAGCCAGGCCCTGGAAAATGGGCATCCAAACAGTGCTTGCTGGGTGAGCCAACTTCCTGTCCCTTCTGCTCTCGTCTTCCTTTTCCCAGGGCAGACCCTTCCTCCCCATGAAACAGAAGTTGAGGAATGATGAGAAATTAAGTCGAGAGAGGAGAACTTGAAAATGACCAGACTTGTGCAGAGGGATTGGTCTGGAGCAGTGCTTCCCAGACGTGATGACACACAAATACCACTGAGGAGCCACAACAATGTAGATTCCCAAGCCCAGCCCTCAGCCAGTGGGGACCTGTGTCTTTGATGGACATCTGTGGTCATTCTGATGCAGGGGGCGTCTACGAAACGCCCAGCTGGGAATCATGGGAGGGGTTAGGGGTTCTGGGTACCTTTGCTTCTTGTCCACCTGAGGTACACAGTCAGTCCCAAAATTGCGATTTTGAGCACAGCAGTGGCCAGTGCCAATCCAATTATAGCTTCTGTACTCAGGGGCCAAGACTCTGGACTTCTTTTGTCCTCCGGGACCCAGAGGTCAGCTGTGATGGTGGGGCTCCAGGTGGTTGTCCTGGTGGCTGAGAAGACATAAGAAATACACAAATCTCCCCTCGGGGACTGGAGGTATCTGGGAAGCTGGCACATCTTGTTCCCTAATTTGGGGAATATAGGGGGTGGGGAGCAACTCTTTGAAGCTCTTCCACCAGGAGGGGAGTAACAAGGGGGAATGTAGGAAGCTTAGAATCCACATCATTCCGTGTAAATCCTGCCTCTACCACTGATCAGTGCTATGACCTCAGAACCTCATTTCATCACCTACAAATGAGGATAACTGAATTACAGGACTAAAAAAAATTTTTTTTGTGGTAAAAGACACATAACGTAAAATATGCTATTTTAAACATACTTAACTGTACAGCTCAGTGGCACCAAACATTCACATTGTTGTGCAGCTCTCACCACCATCCAGCTCCTGACTTTTTCACCTTCTTAAGCTGAAACTGTCCCCATTAAGCATTAACTCCCCATTTCCCTACCCTCGGCTCCTGGCATCTAACTGTACTTTCTGACTCTGTGAATTTGACTATTCTAGGTACGTCATATAAATGGACTCAAACAGTATTTGTCTGTACCTAATGTATACTGGAATGAATTTTTAAGGTTAACTTAATATTTAAGTCCTATAAACAGATTTTTACCTTCTTTTAATAAAAAATTTAAAAATTGACCTAATACTCAGCCAAAGGTGAAAAAAAATCCAGTACCAATAAATCTTTGGGTTAGTGTGGACCAAATTCACTGTCCACACTTACTAGAAATTAATAATAAAATACTATCCCTCAACTTAGCTTTAAAATTTTAAAATTACTTAATCAAAGAAAAAATACACACTAACATGTCAGATAAAATAAAAGTGATTTTTATGAGTGTTAAAAACCACACAAAACTAAAGCTACATGCAAAGTTGAATTAACATTATTAAAAACTTTCATTATTTTAAATGTGAAGACATATATATATATATATATATATATTCAGTTTCCAAAGAAAAAGTACCCAAAACAGAGAGGAACCAGCTCTAAGGAAACACATAGTTTGAAAGTAATGAAAGCTTAGACAGGAACAAAGTTTTAAGAAAACAGAACAACAGAAGGAATAATAAATGCAGGAAGTGGTTATTCAAGGAAAAATAAACAAGAAAATAGAAACCACTCCTGCCAACGTCACAAAGACAAGGTCTGCTGAAGTCATGAGTGAGCATGTGCTCAGTTACAGGTTGATCAACCTAAAAACCTCTGTGAAATAGATGATTTTCTGAAACAAGGAAAATTTTAAAAGAATGAACTTACAAAACAGTAAACTTTAACTAATGGGTAGACACAGAAGAAATGGACTCCACCATTAAAGAACTACCTTTCATAGAGATTTCAAGCTCAGGAGGTTGAATGGATAAATTCTTGTGAAAATTTAAGGAGTAGATAATTCCCAGACAGAAGTTTCTAAAACAGAGAGAAATATGGAAGATAATGCAATTCTACTTCTTTTTGTAAAATGACAAACATAAACCTTATGCTGATCTCCAATCATGATTTGCTTCCACTCCCACCTTCAGGGGAGCTGGCGGTCCCCGTCCCTGGCTCTTTAAGGGGTTTTGCAGTGTAAATCACTTTCTTTCTGGATTTCCCCTCTGCTGGCTTAGGATTTAACTCCTCTGGGCTCCTGAACCAGTTACTTTAGTCTATCTGTTTCCAGCTTCTCAAATTTTGATTTGGTCCACCTAGCTCACAAATTTTTTGTCCTTGTGATTTTTGTCTTTAAAAAAATCCCCCCTTTTTTAGAATGTATTGGGAAGGAGTACATATAACCCAGCATCTTGGCCAGAATTATGCCTTACTTTTACAATTTAAATTATAAAAAGTGAACATTCAAAAGGGAATGTTGCACATTCATAATAAAAATTAAAAATAGAGAGAAAAGTAGGGAATTTGGAAAGGAAAAAGAATGATCTAAGTAGAGCCAAAATGTCTCTGAAAAGGCCATTTCAGGGAATACGGAGGAGGGGCAAGAGATACTAATCTAAGGCTGTCTTAATTCAGGTTGTAAGCCACTGTCTATTTGCTCTAAAAACAGCATGGTGGTCAAGACAGGCAGTGTTTTTCCAAGGAGGAGACACAGAGAGTGTCCTTCCAGGCCGGGAGCAGTAAATCATCACTGATACTGTGTAGCATTGCCAGCCCAAGTGATTATAAGGAGCACACATTTTAATTTTTAGGTGTTTA